GGGGGGGGGGGTACAATAACCAGCCTGGTATTGGCTATTGCATTTTAAAATATCCAATAGCAGGCTGTCTATTGTTACACGTGTCCATTCCTTTTCCACTTGATGAAACTGTTTGCTTTTGGTGGTATATCTCAGTGTAAGATGTCCATGCTCTTTATGTGTTTTACAAATAATGCTCTCACCAGACCCACACAGAAGTTTTCCCTTTCAATGTAAGAAGAGAATGTCCGTTCTGTGTGAAGGCAAGATTTACAGCTTCTCTCCCCCGTGAGCACATTGAACAGACATTGTCTTCTTACAATGAGAGTGAAAACTGCTGTGCAGCAAGGAGCACGGGCATCTCACTCTGAGATATATCACCAAAAGGAAACCGATTCATAAAGTGGAAAAGGACAGGACACGGAGGAGCAGCAGCAGCTAAGATACAGGGGGGAGGGGGGCAGCGGGGGATTTCACAGCTGCAGTCTCTTCTGCCTTCTTGTGCCAGATTCAGAGAAGATACAGGGGGGAGGGGGGCAGCGGGGGATTTCACAGCTGCAGTCTCTTCTGCCTTCTCGTGCTGGCTACAGAGGTCTGTGAAAGGGACCCTGAGCTCTGCAGCCAGCACCAGCAGGGAGAAGAGACTGTCCACACAACACTTACCCCCGCCATGCTGTCACACTTCCGGAGAGGTCAGAGCAGAGAGGGAGCCTCGTTTGGTGGAGGGGTTATGGGGGTCAATGGCCGAAGCTAGTTAAAAAAATTTAAACGGCCAGTATCTGATCTAGGCATCGGGGCATTTTCAGGAGTACAAGTACTCCTGAAAATGCCCTGTATCGGCCCCGATACCGGTACTAGCATCAGTATCGGGACATTCCTAAGCAAAACAATTTAAAAAATGGCTCCTTAAAGAAACTGTCTTCTGATGTTGGTCATATTTAACAATGCATTTTTCTTCTAAAGCACATAATATTTGATGCTCAAAATAAAATAGATAATAATACAAATGTAGACAAATATGATTAAAAATGTAAATTTGAAGATTACCAGCTGGAACTGCTGGATTTGAGGGAGTTGGCTCAGCATTGCGATCTGCTGAGGAGAGAGCTGAGGCCCCATGTTAAACAGTCCTGGGCTCATGTTACTGTTGGGGAACTGCTTCAGCATAGAGGCCGAGACCTGTGACAGGGAGAGAAAATAAATAATCTCAGATTATAAAACTTTGCAGTAATAATTAAAAAAATGCAAATCTAAACAAATATATTCCTAAATATGTCTATAAAATAAAAGCAGGCTATGACCCACCTGTGGAGAGAGGAACTGGGGAGGCACTTGTGCCCGGAGGTTGGGAGAGGAGTTGAGCGATGGCACAGGGTTGTGCATGCCTCGCGATTGTGCACCGCTGTTCCCAAACAGACCGTGATTGCCACCCTGAAGAGATAAAAGATGTTTGATTACATTTGTGAAGGCTGCGAGATCCCAGGTTTACCACACCTACAGCCTGTCTGAGTGAGTTTACATAGCAAATAATGCCACTTCATATGTAGCACAGCCATGGATTGATTGCAAAACAGGTACACAGAACATAAAGCCCCCGATCCCTGGTTTAAGCAACAATGCAAGCTCAAGTAAATAAGGTGCACTAACCCCTCTCCTACTGGCTGAAACAAACATTTAAACACGACAGGTATCCAGATATTTTGAAGGACACACAACCTGCACTATTCTATCACCTTGATGAATAACAACAAATTCGCCAAAACTTTAACACTCCTGGATTGCTATATGCCAAAAACATCTTCTTGAATTGGTTTTCATTATGTCTTTTTTGCCTTTTCCAGCCACATTTCTTGCTTTTAACATTAGATGATTGATTAGTATTTGCAACTGTGTTTGTGGTGGTGCTGAACACGAAGGGTAGAAACAGATTAAGCCTATGACCAGTTACTTAAAAATTCAGCAGATTCCAATACATTTAACTGGTACAATAAAAATCCAAATGTATAAAGTAAACCTGTACCAAAGACCATGCACACTGAAATTATTACCTACTCCTTCCCCTTTAATATCCATATTCTGTAAACAGGATTGCAGCCCTGCAGAATTTCGCTCGCAAATGGTGAGTACTCATTGGTCAGCGTGGTCAGACCAAGAAGTTCTCATCATTTTAAATACATACTGCAGGACTGCAATCCTGTATACGGAGAACGGATGTTACAACGGCAGGGGAGTGATCGTTGACAGGTAAGAGCAGCGGGGAATGGGGGCAAATTGCTGGGGGTTATTTATTCCATTCCACATGAAAAATATGATCTGGCTGACAGGTAAGCCGTGGACCTAGGACGTGGGGCTTTATCCCACCCATAGCTCTACTAAGCCTCTGTGCTCCAGAGGTCAGTTTCTTCCATAGCAGACACAAACCTTGGAGCCGTTCACCATGTGTAGGTGATGCGTATACATAATCCTTGCCAGGTGGTGCCTCACAATATACATACAAAAACACACGCACACACCTACAAGTGATTGAACAATTTTAGTTCAACATCATTCATTTCACTTGTTTGCACCTTAAAAAACAATCTTACAATATAAGCAATCATATTTGGTTTACGCATGCTGAAAAAAAACAACACAGGTGTAATTTGGTCCATGGAGGCAAACTAGGAATAATAGAAGTCGTCGATCTTGGAACCTTGCTGTTTTACACTATGCCATTTTTGTGTGGTGTACAAGACACTGCTGAGGCAGAGCAGCCCCTGTAATAAAGCAACACACAGCACTTCACATAATTTCTAGGAGGTACAATATTGCAAATCAGCACCTGGATGCAGTCAACATGTTAGGCTTCAGCCCGGGATCAAACTATTGTAGTAAGAGTGTTACTGCAATACATGATAGTGCACTATGCATGTGTTGGTGCGTTGTGGTGCCATCCATTATGAACAACATCTCAAGGCACCTGATGCAATTCTAAAAAAGGTTTAGGTGTGGTTTTGGTCACACAGGGGTGCGTTGCCAGCCTATTCAAATAATTAAGCTACCCTAATGAAAAACGCACATTAACGTGTTTGTGTTAACACACCTTGAAAGTGTGAACTTGGCCTTGAATTTGTTGGTTACCAAGAACAGTGGGCAATGACAGTTTACTTTCTTAAGGTGCCCATACACCTTACAATTTATCTGCAGATTTTCTGTGGTCAGATGGAAAAAGTGCAACAGATTGGCCCAGGTGGAGATTACTCCATCCACACAGTTAAGTGTAAATGGAGGAATCTGTTGCACCTATTCCATCTGACCACAGAAAATCTGCAGATAATTGTAAGTCGTATGGCCAGCTTTAGATATGCCATTTCCCACCAAAATTCTAGCAATGCCAAGCTTCAGAGAAAGAACTTTTCAAGACCTTTTGTTTTTGGAAAAGAACTCTAAATTGGCCACAGAGTTTTTTTTTTTTTTTTAGTACAATCAATTGTAAGGAATGCTCCGAATGTCTACTTCACCCACAGATATCAAACAACGTTTGCATGGTATTGGACAATTTAAAAAAAATCTTTTCCGACAAGGATAATAAATACAATATTAATAAAATAAAAAGCATTAAGAATGTATTTCCATATTACTAATGTAGAAGGCAGGGACTCTGCAGAAAAAACATTTATTTAGCCACAAAGTGGTCGTAGCAGGTCATGATGCCAGCTTACTATCTAAAAAAACGTATTAATTACAATCAAGCAGATTAAAAAAATATACTTTACAAATACTTTAAAAAAATTAAAAAATGTTTCCTGTAGTTTTTTTAAAGTAATTTAGCGTTTTGAATAAATATGGTTTGTCATGCAGCCAATAATCTGAATTAGGTATACGTATGCATTCTAAAAAAGGAGAAGTTAGTAACTACCAATGTTAAGGCTTCTTGAATCCCGTTGCTACTACCCTGTTTCCCTGAAAATAAGACCTACCCCAAAAATAAGACCTAGTACTATTTTTGGGAATTGCTAAAATATAAGACCTACCCCGAAAATAAGACCTAGTTGTGACCATTGCCAGGGCTGGTGGTGGCATAAGGGGGGACTTGAAGAGCCGCGGGAGAGAATCAGCGGTGCCAATGAAGCCAGCGCTAGAGGAAGCGAAGCAGCACCAGAGTTAGCAGAGCCGCATAAGCTGATCCTTCTTCTATAGCGCCGGCTCCTGTCACAGGCGGAGTGATACCAAATGCACTCCGCCTGTGAGGAATCGATAGTGAAAGCGCGCTTTGCTTTTTCTGGTTACCAAATTGCTCTTAGAAAGATACGGCACCCCTGATTGCCCTGATCACCCTATTATTAACTTTGCCATTTTGGATTATTTAATTTGGATTTGCATTTACTTTGGATTGTTATACATTAAAAAAAATAAGACCTCCCCCGAAAATAAGACCTAGTGTGTTTTTTTTGAGCCAAAAAAAATATAAGACAGTGTCTTATTTTCGGGGAAAGACGGTAATGCAACTCAGGAAAACCTGCCCCCCGAAGGTGATCTAAAAAGCACACAAGGACTCTTACTTGTCTAGCAGCGAAGGTTTGGGGGTTGAGGCCCGAACCGATAGCCCCCAGGCCCACGGAAGGGAGCGAGGAGCCGGAGGGAGATAGCTTGTAGCTGGGGGAGGGAGAAAAGGGAGAGCACGGAGCCTCGTCCCCAAGGCACCCGTCTTGATTGGAGAAAGGCAAAGTCAGCTAAAGCCAGTCAGTGGGTGTTGGTTAGTGATGCAGCAGAAGGCAAGGGAAAAGGAGAGACAGACAGAGAAATTCTATTGAATGCAAATTAAAGATGCGTCAGTGATCTAAACAACCTCAGAAATCTACCACATTCATTCATATTTCAATGCAAGACAGCAAATAAAAAAAAACAACCTAAAAAGATCTAAATAGGTGATGGTCAAAACTTTTAACCTACTCAATTTTTGATTATTAAATTGTAATCTAAATCTTAGTTTAAGTTTCTTTGAACTAAAAAGATACCATGCATGGGCCAGTTATCCATATTAGGACATTTTAGACTTGATCCTGGGTATTAGTGAAAGCCAAGCCCAGTCAATCAAGTTTCTCCTTGGTATTGCATGTGTGTTCTGGAGAACCTTTTTGTAGAAATCCTGCAACTCCATCTGTGTATATAGAACTGTGCAAATGTTTTCAATTTGGGTGCCAAATTTCCAGATTTGCCTATTTGGGTTTACTTGAGAGCTAAAAGGTAACTCAACTTTCCCAGGTGAATTTAGGAAATTGGAACTATTCCTTCCAATCTGGCCCCCTTCTCTCCCTCCCGCGGTACTTACTTTTGTCTGAACGCTCCTTCCCCCCTGCTGGTACACTATGCGTAGTCTATACATGGCAGTTCAGCCCTGCGCTCTGTATTACGAATTTTGCTCGCAATTGGCGAATACTCATTAGGAATTAGAAGTACTTCTTAGTTCTGGCCTCCTTCTCTTTGAGCTGTTCAACTTCTGATCCCTCCATGATGGTCGATTGTAAGCCATGGCATTGTCTGACTGAATCCTGGTCGGGAGACCCTGTACCTGAGGGGTCCAGCTTTAAAGAGAAAACTGAATTGCCCTGAGTGTCAGGGGTCCACCGAGATGGATCTGTATAGCAACCTGCAGAAACTTCACCCAATGCACCAAGAAAAAAGGTGAGTGTCCCAAACAGGAACCAATTCCCTGAGCATATTACAGCACAGCCCTGCATGTTCCTTCCGGTGGAGTACGATCCTCTCAAAGCTCAAGTGATCTGGATACCTGCTGAGATGTATCCAGCATTAGAGAGAACTTAACTTGACCAATCAAAAAAAAAAAAAAGAAAATTTTTTTTATTTCTACTGGAAAACAGCTTTAAAATTTTCCATTGGCAGCATTTTGTTCTATATCTTGATAAGTGAAAAAATACCTGTTGATCTGGTCAAAAAATCTGAGCTGTACCTGTGTGCACTTTCAGTGTCATTTCAAACAACCTTTCTAGCTCATATCTCGGACTACATACCTTTATGTTGTAAAAATCTGAGAGAGAGAGAGTGGCGGAGACGTTTAGCAAAAGAAAACTGGGAGGGCTGGCACCATTTCACAAAGAGGCTGTGTGTTGTCAGGCCACAACAGGACTTAGAAACTCAGGGCGTTTCTGGCAGATCAACAGGTAGTTTTCTGTACTTGCCAGGTCTTTGAAAGGATAAAACATGGGAAATGTGCATGTATTGCAAAAACGTACTCCTTTTGTTTTTTAACATAAGCTTTCATAATTCCTTAGTCTAACAGCGTAAACCAGTGAAGGTTATATAATGCTATATAATCAACATGTGCAAATAATTACAACGGCCTGCAAATCAAAACTGGTAAATGGTGAAGCAAAATCTTGTATCACTATAAAGTCTCAACATTTATAGTAAAGCAAGCACAGAAAACAAAATAAAAGCAAATGTGAAAGAAAAAAAAACAAAAATCAAAAACTACCATTACATGACCGTAAAGGAAAAGAAAATTTGTGAAAAAATCCATCCACCAAAAACCTTCATTTCAGCTGTGGGTGCTGGGTGAACTATGAACTGGACACAGTGATAGGAATTTATCAAAACTGGAGCAGACAAAATCTGGAGCAGCTGTGCATGGCAACCAATCAGCTTCTCTCTTTCAATTTCAAATCTTAACCAAACTAAAGAGAGAAGCTGATTGGTTGCCCAGGGCAACTGCTCCAGATTTTGTTTGCTCCAGTTTTAATAAATTCCCCCCATATGTTCCCTTTCACTTTGAAACTGTACATAGAAGTTCAAAAAGCTTGCTACACTGATATCTAAAAAGGTAAGATTGTTTTTTGTTAATTATTTTTAGATATGCTGTGTGAATAGCAACACACAAATATAGTGAGGATTTCTCAAATATAAATGCACAAGTGGAGATACACTTTAGGATTACACAGGCAAGGTCTTATTGTTAAACTGAACTCTTCTCAGTGTAGATCATCTCTTCCACATGCTATGGTATTTTGTGTGCCCAGGCACAACAGACCTGGCACTTAACGATAAACAAATCATACCCATAACCCCCCTTTCCCCAGCATATGCAGAATAGAATGCCTATTTTGTGAAGGGGGATGATCTAACACAGCAATACTCACCTTTCTTCAGGATCCAGCAGCAGGCGAAGCGCTGTCCTCTTCTTTCATGACCCATGAAAGAAGAGGGCCATCAGTGGCTGCAGATCCTGCATTGGTTTTGAGGGCATTGGCAGCAGGGGTTTCTGGGTGACAAGTAGGAGGGGTTTCTGGAGACCTATCTTCACTACCATAATGGGTGGGGAGAAGACTAGTGGAGTAAGGAGTAAGTTTTTCTCAGTGTTTGATAATCCCCCCCCTGACAAAACAAGCATTATATTCTTCAGCAGCTAAGGAAAGTGGAGCAGCACAATTTATTATATATAACTGGATCACACATCTTGGTATGAAATTTTAATATTTAGCCTAAAGCCACTTGTGGATGCTCACCTTCTCAAAATAAGGCCCGCTGTCTGCGGCTCCCATCTCTTTGGAATTGGGCAGACGGAAACCGGACCGTTCCTTCCGCATCATGTCATTAAAATCCCCGAGATTACCTCCCCTCTTGTCTGCCTCAAACTTCTTTTCTGGAAGAACACCTGCGGGCCAAGCAAAGATGGTTATTTGTTATATTTTCAAGTACAATATATGGAATACAGCAGCTCTAGTACATTCAGGCACCACAAACACACAGAAGGCAAAAACTTACCAACAGGGTGGTCCATCTTACTAGCAGATGGGTCATCCACTTGGCTCTGTACAGCAGACAATAAGAATGGATGAATTGGCCGTGAATTTAAAATGGAAGACAATTTATCTCAGGTACTAATATTACTACTCTACTGTCATAGAAATATGGACTACAGTATAATTAGTCATAGAACAATATAGGGACGTGCGAGTAGAACTATAGAAATAAAGTTTCTTGCATTTCATGCAATTAGAAAATATAAAGATATGTACAATGGTCAACTACCATTTTTCTAAATTCATATTCACTCTTGACACCTGTCTACTGGAGACTGCCCTGAATATTTGCAGGCCATGGGAAAGTAAGTATAATGACTCTTACAGGGATTTTTAGTTTTGCAACACATTTGCTTTAAGGTATCCAGAAAAAAGGGGGTGTATGACCAGCTGGCAATGTGATAGGAAGCACACTCAGAAAGTTCCAGTCAGGGAACCTACAACATTCTGCGCTCTTTTACAGCCATTCAGTCTCAAGCTGCTCTGCCATCCCTCTGTCCATAGGCTGCACCAACTAATATTTTTTTTGATAATATTTTTCAATGTTTGTCTTGTTCATGTCAGTGACAGCACTTAGAGTGGGCTTCCTGTCATGACAACGCAAAGCCTCTAATAATTTGCAGAAATGGTGTCAATCCACAATGCACAGTAGGTCCTGCAGGACACTGATACCATGGACATTGTCCCCAAATTCAGCACACATATGCCTTCCTATGCACTCTTCCCTAGCCTTCTGCATTGCGCTGTCATGGACTACTATATGCACACAGTGATCCGGCATATATGGCAAACGTGTATATATATTGGAATTGTTTTTTTCTTTTACACAAACTTGGCTATAATTCTTACCAGTAATCCCATGTTTGAGAACTGTTTGGACAAAGGGTTTATCCAGGAATCATTGTTCCCCCCTTTAAGGGAACCCTGCAAAAGAAAGGGAATTTATACTTTTGTGAATAAACAAAAATTTTAAAAAACGGTAACATGCAAAAAGCAAAATATGTTTCTATGTGGAATGTAAACGTTTGTCCTTGTCAAGTACGAACTAACAAAAGGTGCAACAGATTGGGGCAACAATCAAGAGTTGTAAGTGTTTATGACCGATAGAGCTTTGAACAGAAGCACTTTCGGCAGTCTAGCATTTTCTGTCATCTTGGGAAGTTTCTGTGTGGCTGATTGCAGTACAAAAAGGAGGAAAGGATAGTTTGCTTCCTCCATAGAATAGTACAATCTATTGTAAGTTCAGTCCAGAAAGAGTTTGGTGAGTACCATTGGTAGTAAGGTTTGGCAGATCTCTCATCTCCTTCCATTCTACTTATAAAACCAGCCTATCTATGCCCCCTTAATCTTTCAGCAGTACAATCTGCTTTATAGGCGGTCAAAATTAACACTGTTACTTGCAGCATTGGGGACCTGGGTCTCACCAAGGGAATATCTTTAAGAGGTTTGCATATTCTTCTCATGTTGGGTGGGTTTCCTCTAGGTGCACTTTCTACTCACAATCCAACAGGATTATAATGAAATACAAAGCATCTACTTAAATGTCCATGAAAAATCTCTTAGCTGAATAGATGTACAAATGTAAAAACATTGTAGAGCAGGGCCTGATACAAACATTTAAAGTATCTCTGTAAAATAACATAAAATACACTGTTACCATACTTTATGTCTAAGGCCTTGTTCACCCCAAATGCAGACCAGATCTGCATGAGTTTCTGCACACGCAGTGCAGTGGGTAGCGCCGCGTTTTTGATGCGTTCTGGGCTGTTTTTTTTTAGTTTAAAATGGGCTTTCAGTGTGTTCCAGGGCGTTTGCATGCGTTTTTGATGTGTTCCAGAGCAGATCCAGAGCAGGTAAATAGGGCCTGCTGCATTTTTTTTACCTGCTCTGGAACGGAACGCTGCGATGTGAACTGGAGCTAAAAATACCATTGGAATACATTGGACGCAGTTTTGCTCCGGTCTGTAACTGCTCTGCTCCTGGAACGCGCTTGGTGTGAACAAGGCCTAAAAAGGACTCCAAGGATGATGATCCCCACCTAATGTGCAAAGGATCTTAATGATGATGATCCTCACCTAATCAGGCCAGTTATAACTGAAACGGGCAATAATATGTTTATTACGCACTTCCCTCACCTCTCCAGACATCATCGCCTAGCTGATCTTCAACAGATGAAGCATCAAAACAGTAAAACTTTACCAGGTGATTGTTATTTTCATCCATAAATAAGACTAAATGAGGGCCTGTTCACAGAAGAGCCAAGTGATTAAACACATGGTACCGTGCAGCACACCTACTGTGCAGGAGGTGCATCGTGTTGCCAATCATTTGAATTTGGATTGACCACGCCACAACATGTGGTACCGCAATTCCATGCATTGCGATGTGGCTGAAAAAAAGTAGTACATGCACTACTTTTTTCAACCACAACACATGGTATTGCAGTGCCACATAATGCGGCACGGTCAATCGCATTGCAAGTGTGAGGTGAGTTTGGGGTGCCACTGAAATGAATGGCAATGCAACGTATGACACTGCAATGTGTATTGCGTAGTACTGTGCGTTAATCACACGGGCCTGGTGTGAACAAGCCCTAAAATATCTGGTAAGGCATAAATGATTCTATTCTGTATGGAAATTTCATCTTGATATTTTAAGTTCTGTAACCAACAGGCATTTCATCAGAGAAGAAAATTGATAAGGACGTGAAAAGAGCTTAAATTTCACTGTGCAGGCTCAAATGGAGAATACCAATAATGTCATGTGATTTTTTTTTTTAAATGACACATTTTGTTAAAGGTCTATTTATAAATGTTTTCACACAAGAATTATACAATGTTAATCCAGGATTTACACATCTGTCCAATTGAATCCACTTTGAAACATTATGAATCATGGGTGAAGGGTGTGTGAACCTTGGGGGATTTTTTTTTCTCTAATAGATCACAAAGTGCTTATTGTAGTGCAAATTCGAAAATGAATGCATTTTTGAGTAAAATCTTTGTGCACTTCTATTTTTAATGCATACAGTACCTATGTTAAAGTGTATATAATACCTTAACGTGAACTTATCTTTTTTGCTCCCTTTTGGTCTGTTAAATGTTAACATTGAAAGCATTTTATTATATTAAAAAGGAGAACTATGAGGCGAGTGCTTTTCACTCACCTCATAGTTCTAGCCGACCTGTGACAATGAGACTGTCACAGGTCGGCTCAGTAGATCGGGAGGTGAGCGAACACATGCCGGTGTTCGCTCACTTCTCGATCCTGTCACGGCTCTCTGCCGTGACAGGGGAGGGGATGGATTCCCCCCTCCGATCCACCAGCGCTGACTGGCGGAACGGACGGGGGAATGGGCGGCTACAGCTGGCTCTGCCTCTAGATAGGCAGAGCCAGCTGTCAATCACACAGCTGGGCGGATCTCAACATCGATGTTGGGATCCGCTCCGGCGTCTCAGTATACCGCAAGCTGTAGCTCGCGGTATACTGAGCTTAGGGTGACGGGAGGACGCTAGTTTGTGTCCTCCAGTTACCCTAAGGAGAACTATGGGGAAAAGCCCTGACCCCATAGTTCTCCTTTAAATATTCCATAAGTGCAGAAAAAGACCTGCTAGATATCTTGTGAACTGATATTTTCCTGTGCAGCACTGTTATCAATTGAAACACATTATAATAGTGAAAAAGAAAATCAATATATACAACACTTATCACTAATAATGAACAAGCCCAAGCAAGTAATAAAATATTAGCAGCAACCTAAATACAAAATGCAAACATTTTTTGGATGTGCCAGCTGGGACAGAGAACACGTTTGTAAATAAAAATAATCCTTGCAACACTTTATTCATAATGAAAACCTGCCCTTGCAACTGCTTCTTATAGAACTGCTGCAACATTACTACCAGATGGCCGAACTCCACATTCCTTGTTTGAATTTCCAATTAATTTAGCTTATGAGGATTACCCTTTTTATAATATTAAAAAAATACACCAGAAGCTTTAGGTTAAGTTCACACATTTCATAACTGCAATCTTGAACAAGCTACTGAAAATCCAGTCATTTTTCCATTTATTTTTTTTAAGAACCTTTCTGGGATGCTCTCCATGTATTTGATGCTGGGAGTACCTATTTTGCTTATCATTAGTTTGAAACCTCCAAAACTGTGTAATGGTGCCAGACTTCAAATCATAAGCTTGCATCCAAACATTGTGCATGCATCTATAATTGGAGGTGCATATCATGCACATTCTTTCCCAAGGATCCCTTTATTTCCAACATATTTTTCATGTACAATTTAAAAGGTGGCAGCTTTCCCAGAGATTATTTTTAGTAGTGGTTGTAGTAGTACCTATTAAGAAAGCTCAAGGTCAAACTCTGAATGTTGTTTGGGATTCATATGAAATCTCCATACTTTTCGTATGGCCAATTATATGTTGCCATTTCTTGGGTAGGAGATCAAAAAAATATCTATATTTTGACAAATTCAGATAACTACCCAAAACTGTAGTTAATATGGAAATCTTTTTAAATATTTCAATATTTGTAATATGACTGTTCAATGAACGGGCACACTTTGCCAGTATATTTTTTTTATTTTAGGTTTAGATACACTTTAGGAGTTGCATATACAAACTGATAACATGCACCCAAGACACTGACAACTCATCAGTAAGTACTCTAAGACAGCTACCAACACATACTTTAATGTCAAACTTAGCATTGGCAGAAACAGTTTAAGGCTCGGTTCACACCTAGGTGTTGCCGAAACGCAAAAAAAAAACCTGTGAAACGCGCTTGCGTTACCATTATTAGTTAATGGCACCCTCAGACGTGGCCAGGAGTACATGGTTTCCTCCTCTGCATTTGTGCACATTAAAATGCGCACAAAAGTGGAAGAAAAAACGCAGAATACATGTTGCAGATTTTGCACTACTTTTCCGCGTATAGGAAACTATTGAAACGAATGGCAAACATGGAGACCAAATGTACGCAGTACGCCTAGGTGTGAACTAAGCCTTATAAAATGGAGATGCTCTGGGTTCAAGTAATGAACTTGCTGTTACCAGGACATTTCTAAATGTATACTAGGATAATGAATGCCTTGTTCACACCAAGCCCGTTCCAGGAGCAGAGCAGTTACACACCGGATCAAAACTGCGTCCAATGTATTCCAAATGGTATTTTGGGCTCTAGTTCACACCGCAGCGTTGAGTTCCAGAGCATGTAAAACAACTGCAGCAAGCCCTATTTTACCTGCTCTGGAACTCATGCAAATGCATCAAAAACGCATGCAAACACCATGGAACGCACTAAAATCTCATTCTAAACTAAAAAAAAAAAAATGTATACCAAAAACGCAGCACAACCCACTGCACTGCGTGTGCAAAAACTCATGCAAATCTGGTCTGCATTTGGTGTAAACAAGGCCTTAGACAGTTGGAGCTACTAAATCTTTATGCAAGAGGGTTCCAATCCTTTACTCTTCTATGAAGGCTAAAGAATCAGAAGCATCGCACCAGATCCTTCAGAAAGATTACACACTAAAGTAGTGCTGCTGCAAGAGACTAATCAATGATCAGATCTTGCGCAACACCAGTATGCATTTCACAGTGGTCACAATAATGCCACAAAGCTGTTATGGTTCATCTATTTTACCAATATATAGAGCAGAAGCCTTACCTTGATCTGTGGTTTCTTTCCTCCTTGGCCCCACCCTGCTGAGTTGTGGGAGGAGCCACTTCCCTGAGATCCTGCACTGTTCCAGACTCCACCCTCCTCTTCTTCATCCCAACTGCTGTGACGTGTCCCTGTCACCGGTGCTTCATTCTCTCCCCAGCCATCTTGCATAGATTTTGTACCTGTGCACATCAGAAATAAAATGAGACTTATTTCCTTTCATTTCTATTATCGGAGGGTACATAAAATAGTAAAAAAAATGTACAGATGTGCAACAAACAATGCACATCATGAGTTTATAGCAGTAAGGACAACAAACTACAATATTTAATCAATTTCCATTTAGGATATAAAATATTCCAGCATCTGTCACGGTCTACATAGATATAACATAGTCATGTATCCATGAGGATCTAAACGTGTCTCTTGTGTTTTTAAGTAAGGCTATTGGGTTATTGATTAGCATAATATCTTGCACAAACAAGAAGGCCGTGGTAGTTGGGATTACTTGTAGTCACAGAGCAGGTATACAGGCCCTGGCCACATTTAACAACTGCATTGTTAAGGACAATTTTATTTAGATATTTGTATATCATTGTGATGGAGGAGATAAGAGACCAGGGGGCTCTTCCATGCCAATGCCTATAGCATAGTGAATCATTTCGCTGAGTTCCAGAAAAATGTGATTTGTAGACACCTCCGGTGTAGTGGTCACTCTGTACAAGTGGGATAGGATTTTGTACCCCGGTTCATTAAAATTCCTACTGAGTATTTGTGTGCAAAGAGAGCCATTCTCGTGGTTCAGGTGTGAATTGTGTTGCCTTCCTATTTTCTGACATAGAATGGAGTAAAGCCTTCTACTTTAGACTTTTTTTATATGGTGGATATAGAATACCAAAAGGATCTTGAGATCTGCATATGTCCTCAAAGGTGGTGAAGGCTCAATTTATGTCTTCTGGAATGGAAGACAAAAATTGGTGTCAATTCCTGATTTCCAGTGGCGAGTTATGGTTCCAATTTCCTCTGGCATAAGTCATAGTGATGGGAATAGAAAGTCTATGACTCTTAATTTATCTTTGATGTGAAAAGCCATGGTTCCCCTTGGTCAGAAGGCAGAAAGGTTTCTTCACTGATGGTGAATTGGAAAAAGCCAGGCGAAGCCTCAGAATGAAATTGAGGCGTCTCCTCTTTCCATATTTACACATGCATTTTTTGGTGGCAACACCAGTCAACAAGCCTGGAAAGGCTTTATAGTATTAACAAAACCCCAAAGTTTGAAGTGTGTCAGCAGGATGTGGTTTTAATTGGGCCACCCCACAGTCATTAGAAAATATAAATGATCAACTAAGTTGTTAAGGAGTATGAAAAATACTGTTTAGGAAAGCCTGTAGGACATAAAAGATGTGGAGCAAGATTGTGGCTACATTGCGTAACACCAGCCAAACTAATATCAACTTTTTCTTGTTGGAGTTTCCACTATCTTACCCTTGAAACTAGCTTGTAATGAGTACACTAAGTGACTGCCTGCAATGGTTTACAGCGAATTAGATTAAGGTAAATTGAACTTTCTGTCTTTAAGCTGAAGCATTAACATTAGCAATTGACTGCATTGGTTTTACTTGTTGCTTGGAATTCTATATTTACTTTTCGCTCTCTCCTGGCTCTGTTCTGTAAATTCATTGCTTAAAAAAGGTAATTTTGTTGCCTCGTTTCTTTGTTGGGAAAAATATGACTATCCTCTTGCTTGAATAGAAGGCCAAGCAGTCAATGTCCCAGTCAAAGCTACAGGGAAATTTCTAAGTATAGGATGAAAATATTATTTAAAGCATATCTAAAACTGAAAACAGAAATTTTATATATTGCAGCGTACCAATCTATATATGTTGTGGCTGCACTGTTTTGTTCTCATGCTCTATTTTACCTGGCAATCGTGTGAATAACGGTCCTCCTTCCCTGGGAGCTAACGCTCACTTCCCCATTGCATCTTTTTGGGTCTGCTCAAATTTATTAATCCCCTCCCTCATTGTTTTATGCTTCGAGGTCACCTCACAGGAAGTGATAAGGTTACTGAATTTCTGTATGGATAACAGGTATTTTCTTTACATGCTAACAATGCTCTTAGCTAGAAAAAAAAACAAAAAACAAAATGCAGCAACCCCATGTAAGGACTGGTCAGTTGCAATATATTACATTTTTCACCAGTCCATCTTTTGCTGACTGCTGGTCTGACAAAAGAATAATCAATACGCACAGTGTCACAGAATGAATGAAGGAGAAGCAGCACAATCCTTGCACTGCAGGTCCTCAAGTAGAGATTTCTTTCCAGTGACAGTAAGAAGCACAATAGAGCTCTAAATGTCAAAAGACTAGCAGTCAAAGACAAAAGGGGGGAATTTATCAAAAAACTGGAGCAGTTGTGCACGGCAACCAATCAGCTTCTCTTCAGTTTGTTCAGTTAAGATTTGAAAATTAATAAGAGAAGCTGATTGGTTGCCATGCACATCCGTTTCAGTTTTTGTCTGCTCCAGTTTTGATAAATTCCCCTCAAAGTGTCTTAGACCTGACACTGCAGATATATTTCAATGAGGCTGCAGGCATGAAAAAATGCATTCCAAGATTTAAAAAAAAAAGGAATTCAAGACAAAAAAAAGATGTTTATTGCATCAGTTTCTTGGAGTACATCACTAGACATAGGGAGTTAATTCTTATGGATGGGTTATGCAGCTACCCTCAAGTGATTGGACACTGGCAAATTAAAGTGGCTAGGGCAACCCTGTAAAACTCCTCCCAGCCTGCCTCAGCTTCGGAGCAAACAGTACAAGAGTGGATCATAAAAACAGAGAGGAGGATCCTGAGATGCACTCCAAAAATTGGATTTTACAGGTAAAGGAGCCCATACACCTTCCGATTATCGTACGATAATCGCGTGAAATCCCGCGATCGTACGATAAATCGCAAGGTGTATGGAAGGCGTGCGACTTTTTACTATACGGTCGCACGTCTTTTGTCGAACCAGCAGGCTAGAAAACCCGCCGAGAATGCTGATCCAGGTAAGGCTAGGCTTCACTCTCCCCAATTACATCCCAGGTGCAGGCTCGACTTGTCTCCACCAAAAGCAGTCAGTGATAGAAGCAACAGAAACACTGCATACCAATATGCAAAATAACGATTCCTTTATTAAACAGCCAGCAGGAAAACAACTCTAATTTAGAGTAAGAGTTTGTTCCTGCTGGCTGTTTCATAAAGGAATCATTATTTTGCATCATAGTGTGCGGCATACTTGTTGTGCAGAAAAAAGGATCTACTTCTCTCAGAGCAGAAAGACAGCATCCATCACTTAATAATGCTTGCAAAAAACTGAGCCGGAATGGGAGAGGTTATATGGGCTGTCCTAAAAGCTTTTATTTGTCAGTGTACAATCACCTAAAGGTAGTAGCATAACCCATTCGCTCAAGAATGAGCTTCCTGTGTCTTGTAAAGAACATTTGTCAGATTACTGCTTAGGCACAATTGACATGTTTAGATGTTCCTTTTAAATATATATTTTAATCATAAAAAGCCTGCACATTTGCATAACTTACCAGTTTTCATGGCACTAGGAGCTACAGGGGGTGCATTTCCCCAGCCTGGGGTTGGAGGTCCAGTTTCTTCTGCTTCCCCCCATCCAGAAACAGGTTCAGATGGCTCACCCCAAGCTGCAGTGCCATTGTCACCTGGGGGGCCCTTATTCTTGCCCCAAACTAAAAAAAAAGGTAAATGTATTAACACATTTCAGCTGTAGAAAAGTGAGTACCATCTTCTAGATATTATCAAATCTAGGTGCATACAAAGAACACACCCCACCTTAAAGTGACCCTGTCAGGGTAGCAAAAAATCCTAAAAGAAGGTGGCCTGCAGGAGAACAGCTTTTATATTCACTTCCCTGGTGGCATACGTTTCCTACCACCACTCCGTTCCATTAATGCAGCCTTCATTGGTCTCTTGAAATTCAACTTTCAGGAGTGTTGGATGCCAATGGGCCAAAGTTCTATCTCCTGACCACTGCATCACCACAGGAATAAGCAATGAAGTAGGGGTCACAGGATGGAACCAAGGCACACTGTGGCAGACACTGGCATCTGTTCCTCCCAGAAGTGTTGAATGCCAAAGAGACTGCAGCACATCTCTCGGTATTTGTGTTTTCACCAACTAACACAGTAGTAAGCTAGGAGGCAGCAGTAGGAATCACAGTGCAAGGCAGGGGACACACTATCTGGCATACCCATGGAACTGCAGCAGTGCTGGTAGTGGTACCTCTGCTACAGTGAGATTGTCAAGTATTCTTGTGCAACTTCTTTTCGCTAACGAAAGGGTGCGTTGCACCTACAAAATTTCACGTTATCTGTCTTTTTCAAATGTTGAGAGACTGTTAATTTTGAAAGGGTTGCCTTACACAATGCACCTCAATGCACAGAAATGTATGTATAGCAGGTCACTGGGTTTCAGCAGCAACATTCCTTACAGTTAGTAGGCAGCAGAGCAAAGTGAAACAAGTCATTTTCCACTAACAGGAAAATGCTATGTTGCTGCTTCTAATGGCCGTGATTTAACAGAAGCACAAGGAATTAAGTGCTCATGGTTGTGCTTTCGCTTTACAGGAGGAGTACAAAATGAACTGGTCAGACATTCTTAGGACAAGCAAACAGTCAAGATATTAGTCACGTTTAAAGTGGCCACTTTAATATTTGCTAACCAATGCATATACTTTTTTTCTGCAAATGTATTCTGACACTTAAACAAAAGTCACTGAAATAATAATATTTTCAATGTGCAAGACGGCACATAATTACAGAGAAATATCTTTTGTATAGCTGGGGATAAAATACGCGATGCACCGATACCACTTTTTCGGTATCAAGTACCAATATTTTTTTTCGGTACTCGCCGATTACGAATACCGATACCGGAAGTCCCATTAAGGAAGCCGGGCACTGTGTAATGACTCGCCGCCCGGCTTCCTGATTGGCCAGGAAGCATGGAGCTGACTTTCTGGCCAATAAACATTTGATGCAAAGTGCATCTACATAGAATCATTACAGATAATGGGCTCAGCAGAGTTTAATCACATATACAAATATGGGCAGGTGGACTCCATATCTTAAGTTGGCCCATATTTACATATGAGCGATTGCTAACAAGCGATTCTTCATTAAATAAAATATTGAAGAATGCAATACAGGTAGTTTTGTTTCTCACTTTGCTAGGGCATCAACAAATGATTATTTTCATAATCGATTAGTTGACTGATTACAATTTCCATTAATTGGGTAAAAAAAATGAAATAAGTACCATCCTTAATTTAATTTTTTAAAAAATCCACAAATGCAGTATTACAAAGTTTACTTCAGAATAAAGCTGCATGCACAATTTTTTGCAACTGTACTGCACTGGAACACACAGCATTGCGGTATCATGTGTTCCAGTGTGGGCGATCACAGTCAGAGGCTGGTTTGGGGTGCCATTGAACAGCTTCAGCCAGGGAAGCTGCCAGTGGCAAGATTCCGCAGACAGCAGCTGAATGTAAATACAGCAGGTAGTGGGCTGGTCCATTTTAATTTGCAATAGCAGGCTGGCTATTTGCACCCACTCACTGCTTGATGTGCCCCCCTCCCAGTGAAGAGGAGAGAACTAGGGGATCCAACGTACTAATTGATAATATTTATCAGAATAGTTGTCAACTCATTCTCATTATCGATTAGTTGGTTGCAGCCCTACACTTTGAAACTGAAAAAGTCCGATCCTCAAGCGCTGACTGGACGAAAGGATGGGGAGAGGGCAGGCACAGCTGACTCTGCCTGTAGATAGGCAGAGCCAGCTGTCAATCAGCTAGCTGGGTGGATCTCGACAGTATTGTTGGGATCCGTCCCGGCTGCAGAGCTCTTGGTATATAGCGAGCTGTACCTCGCTACATACTGAGCTTTGGGTCACGAGAAGATGTTAGTATATGTCCTCCTGTGACCCTTAAGAGTACTATGGAATAAAAAGTTCTCCCCATAGCTCTCATTGAAGGACTTACCTTAAATGATATCTCTTGATCCGATCATCCTCTTTCCAGTAGTTTTCAGAGTCCTTCCAGCACTGGTGCCGTTCTCTGATCCAGCGCAGACTGCTATGTCTTCTGTGTCCCACGGAATCTGTGCACGCTGCCGGGCTGTCTGCATTGTCTTACCCTGTGTCTCCCCTCTTCTCCTGGCCAAAGATCTCCCCATTAACCTTCACGACCGCCAGAGAATCTTCAGCACTTTGGACGGGAGCGAGTGGCGGAGACACAGGTAAGTTTGAACCTATTTGGTAAGTTTAAAATTTTTTATTTTTCTCACATATATCTATTGCTTGCTAGCAGTAGATAAAAATGCAAAAAAACCCAAAGGTTTAATTATACTTTAATATTGTTGTACTTTGATCTTGGAGGTCAGGCAGAATCTTTGACATTTTTCTGGGTTCTTTCCTCACCATTCAGATAATTGTGTCCAGTTATGTGTCCAGTTTTCTGTTGCGGCCACACCCAGGAAAGTTTGTTTTGGTTCCATGGATCTAAATGTCTTGATAGAATTCTAAACCTTGTCTTTTTTCCTTAGTCTATACTATACATGTCTTTCTTCTCTCTTGTTTTATGTTTACTGTGCTGCACATAATGCGGTAGTTTTCTCCAGATTGATGATGAGATTGACAACACCTTGTGACGCCAATAAAATGAATAATCTGCTTGGAATGTAACTAAAATGCAACAATGTCTTTTCACTTCTATAGGTGCCATACAACTTACAACCATCGCACGACTTTCGTTGTGCGATGGTTGTAAGGTAATTAAAATCTCGTACGATCTGCCCATCTTGGGCAGGCAGATCGTACTTGCAATCATCGCAAGCCCTCCCAGCTGAGGGGAGGGCTTCCGATGACTGCAATGCTGAGCGGGCAGTGCGCTTGTGCACACCGACCCGTTCGGCATTTGTCTCCCGAAAATCGTACAATTCTCGGCGGGTTTTCAGGCGTGCTCGGGAGACGAAAGACGTGCGACCGTACAGTAGAAATGGTTGCACGCCTTCCATACAACTGCCGATTATCGTACGATCGCAGGATCACCCACGATTATCGTACCATAATCGGCAGGTGTATGGGCACCTTAAGTGGTATTAATAATAACGCCATTTAATTTGTTTAATTATGTACAATATGGACGTTATAAAGCAAAAGCAAAGTGTCTGCTTTATAAACTATGGAATATTGAATGGTGAATTCCAATTACCTGAATGAGTTTTAACTTCTTTCATTGGATTATTTGCGAAAAAGTGAACGGGTGTCAACACTTTTGATCTCAGCCCACTAAACTCCGGACTAATAGAATCAAGAAAGATATGCATTCTAAAAGTTATATACTCCACAAATAACTGATTAGGCTTTTAATTCAATCAGCAGCTAAGAGGATGTAAACTGATGTTTTAACCCTTTCATTGCCACCGACGTAAGGCAGAACCCAACTGCTTGCAGCTGGCCAAGTCAGCACACCTTATGTAGGTGGTTTACCCCCTCTGCTATAAGCTCATGGTCGCTTTAGCGACCATAAACTTATATCAGAACGGTTCCCCTGACGGTCCCCTGTAAAATAATAGCGGTCATCAGCGGCTGAGAAGCTGCCGATGACAGCAATTAACAAAATTATGTTTAGACCCCTGATATTTCCCTGAAGCTCACCCCCTACAGTAAACAAAATAAAATATAATAAAAAATAAAAATAAACCATAACCCCCCCCAGATAACATACATGTGCACCATATTGTGGTGTACGCCATGTACATGCGCTGCAGTGCGTTGTCAGAATGCATTGCAGTATTTGATTTTTTTTTCGTTTTAAAATCACATTAACTTAACTGTGTGGCAGCGCGTGGCAAACCAGTGTGACGCATCGCGATACGCTGTGCTGTGATTAAATGTACGCCTGTATCATTTTGTCACAACACACACACACACACACACACCAACACAACGCACAAACGATTTTAACACAAGTTGCTTATTTGCAGTTTTGTGTTAATTATTTTACCGTTTCGCAAAAAGGAGCAATTTAGAATTTACAAATATTTGTTATTTCTTAACTCAATAACGTTTTATCTTTTAGATTTAGTTGGAAAAGTATTTTTTTTTGTGCACTGATACTGATTTTAATGAGCTTATATCAATTGAATTGTGTATTTTTATCGGTTTATTTTTAATTTGACAAACATTTGGGATGGGGTGTCGTTTACAAACGCTAGCAATGCAGCAATAAAAAAATCAAAACAATGGGAAAAATTGCAAAAATGGTGTGGCCAACCGACGTTAAAATCGTTTGAGGCCTTGGCAGCGAAAGGGTTAATAAGTAGAAACTGACAGGCTGAACCATCCTTTGGCTTAAATATTGTGTGGGTTCCAAGCTTCTGACAGGTGTACCGAACAATAGCCAAACAAGAGAAATCTCATTATCCCATTTCATCATGTAATGTAAAATAAAAAAAGACTGCAGTGGTGAGAGATCCTCTCATGTGATAGCTGCAGCAGACAGGCAGAGTTGAGCGATTTAGTTCACAAGTTTTAGATATCCAAGATCACTGGCAACTACAAAAATGTATTCAATATTTAATGGATGTTACAATCACTGCCTATAAATTTAGCCAGATAGCACTACTTATATATGTGGTGCCAGTGACTCAGATGATTCTGGAAC